GGTGCCCCAGAGGACAATTGGCAATGTCGGAGACAGTTTTTCCATAACCCTGGGGTCCCGGTGCTACTGGCAATCCAGGGGGTGGGGGTCGAGGTCATCAAGGCACAGGATGGCCCCGAGCAGGCAGTTTACCTGCCCCAAAGGCCAGTAGTGCCCAGGGTTGAGGAACCCTGTTCTAGGGGAGGCAGTAAGATAAATAAGTAAGCCGAACAGATTGCTAGAAAGGGCTACGTGACAAAGAGTTCAAGTCCGCACAAAGAATCAAGAACATAAGTTCCGTCTGCCTCGGCACAGCAAGAATGAGGCTCGGAGGGGAGGGGACGCTTCCAGCCCTGAGACCCAAAGACTGGCCGCCCGCTTGGCATCAACCCGGGCCAGAGATGGCCCCCAGAGGCTGCCAGTGGGACGCAGAGATAAATGGGGCCAAGTGCCTGCCCCCAGGGCCCCCGGACGGCCTCCTGCCGTCCACAGCCATTGCCGAAAGGCACGCGCTCCCTCTGTTTTCAGATTTGTAAGAAACAAGCATGTTTCTGCACTTCAGGCTCTTTTACACCTACTTTCGTCTCTTGCTGCCACGTCGTCGAGGTCTCCCCGTCCCGACGCGGGGCTGTGCGGGTGCGCCTTGCCGAGGACCTTCCAGAGTTGACCCCTCCACTCCCCAGGTGGTGGGCACTGGGGTGGCGTCCAGGCCCAGCGAGTGAGCCAAGAGCTGCTAGGACACTCGCCGCGGGGTGGGACCGCCGGCTCCTGAGTCCCCACGCCACCGGCCCGCCTCCTCGAGGTCTTGCCGAACCGGCTTCCCCAGGAGTGCACCTGCAAGCCCACCGGCTACAGACAAGCCTTCTGATTGGCCCTCATCCTGCCCATGATTGGGCGACGCGTAGGCACGTGACGCCCATCTGGCCAATGAGAATGAGAAGAGGGCTGCCCAGGGGATGGCGGCAAATTCTCTAACTCCCAGGACCGGCTGACCTCCGCGCTGAGCCCTAACCCGAACCCCGACTCACAGGGGCTCGACGGGCTACCCTGCGCGTCTGGACGCGACGGGACGCGCCAGCCACCTTTGCGAGCACCCGGAGACCGCGCAGAGCAGATGGCAAGCCTGGGCCCTAGGCGTCCATCACAGAGCCCCTGAATGAACACCCACCCTCCGGCCCCCCAGGCCCTCCCCTTGGCCTTCAGCTTGTTAACAGGGAACTGAACTTCTTCTCTGACTTCAAGTTGGGTTTGCTGTTGCTTTCAGCCCAAGGTGCCCCGACCGCCCCCCAGCCCGGTTCTCCAGACAATTCCGTGGCGGCTCACCCGCCTTTTTATCAAACTCATATTGTGCTTAAATCAGCCAGAGTTGATTTGGGTTACTTACAACCCTGATGATCCAGAGGAGAGTCTGAACCCAGTCCTGTCTGCCAATGAGCAAAGGTGCCAAGATAGGAAGGAGGGAGTGTTTGGAGACAGAGATGAGAGAGAAGGTGGGGCAGAGGCTGGGGCTCCAAGAGGTAACCACCCCCTCGTGGGTGGGAACACCAAGGTCACAGGGCAGGAGCACGGCAGGGGTCAGATCCCAGAGGGACTTCAATGCCAAGGAGAAGAATGTTGATTATATTTTTAAAGTCCTGAGATTTTGACCAAAAGAGTCACCTAGTAAAGTTGGCACTTCAGTGGGGGCACCTGGGTGGCTCAGTCGGTTAAACATCCTGCTCTCGGTCTCAGCTCAGGTCATGATCTCAGGGTTTGTGAGTTCGAGCCCTGCATTGGGCTCCACACTGTCATCCCAGAGAATCTATCTCTTTCTCTTCCTTTCCCCTACTTGTGCGCTCGCTCGCTCTCTCTCTCTCAATATAAATAAACAACAAAAATAAATAAAATTCTCTTTTTAAAATTGGCACTTTAGGGAGTTCACCTGGACCAGGTAGTTAGGGGCCCAAGAGAGGGGTCTGGCATCCTCGGAGCCAGCCAGGGCCCACACCATCTCAGCTGGTGCACACAGCTTCCCCTCCCCAGGGAAGGGACCACCACAGCCCCCCGCTGGTCAGGGCCACAGCAGGAATTCAGACAGACACCAAACCCAGGGCTGTTTCGCTACATCCTGCCACCCCAAGTGTGAGAAGAGAGTTAGCACCCGGGTGCGATCCGGCCAGAATCATCCCTGCTGAAGGGAGAGACCTGTACGCCCACCAGCAAAATGTTTCTGTAATGCTTCAAACCCGGGGAGCGGGTCACTAGCTTTAAGGCCGTCTCGTCTCACAGCTGCCGAGGCTGGGGAAGTGACATCCCATCTTTTTATGGGACATTAATTTAAATAAAGCCTTTGCCAGATGACAATCCTTGTCTGTGGGTAGTGAAGTAAGCTCTCTGCAGGAGCAGGGAGAGACATAAGCCAAGCTTTCCCTGGGTCTCAGGGAAACCACAGGGTAGGTCTGAGACCCTGGCCGGGGAGGCAGAGCCCAGAAACTCCTGCGTCCGCGGGTGGTGGCAGCGAGGGGCCAGCTGCCAGGATACCCCCCCTCCCCCAAGCTGGGCTCACTACAAGCCTCTTCTCAGCCTGAGCAGGCTGCTAGGGGTGTGGAAGGGCATGAGGCATTTGCAGAACCCCTGGGACGGCCGTGGAGAAGCAACGGTCCCCGGCACCTGCCACGGCCAGGCCCTCCGGGGTAGGTGTGGTTGGGTTCTTCCAGTGACCCCCGAAAGAGGTGCTGCTCTCACCATCCCCATTGTGCCGGCAGGCAAGTGAGGCCCAGGGGCGCTGGGGGACCTGCTGAAGCTCACACAGCTGGCAGGGCCTGAACTTGAACCCAGTGCCGTCCACACTCATTTACTCACCCCTCACCAGTGAGCACTGAGGGCACAGAAAGGCTGAAGGGATCAGGGAGGCTTCATGGAGGAGGAGGCATTGCACTGAGCCATGAAGGGTGAATCGGAGCCAGGGGCCTTTAGAGCAGGGAAAGGTCTTTCCCTGAAAGGGGAAAAGTATGAACCAAGGCTCAGAGGTGAGGGCAAAGGTGCGGGTCAAAACAAAATCCCTTCAAGCCCCTGAAGAATCCCCCTTTTGAATGCGTCCAAACTGGGGAGCTGGAGAGACTCTTAAGTTCCAAAGGAAGATTTGCTATTCGCTGTCTCCTTGAGCAAAACTCTCAAGCCAAGATTTTAAAATCCTCTTTCTTCTTGACAAAAACATCTCTGGTTTCCAGCCTGTGTTTCTGGCAACCTCATTCCCCGAGTCTCGGCATCTGGGAGAAATGATGCACTCAGAAAAAGAAGGCATGTGGCTGCCAGCAGGGAAGAGGCCAGAGCAGGAGGTGAGCCAGCAGGGAGGAAGCAGAGAAGGAAACGAGGGGAAGGGGGCCCTGGAGGGGTTCTGCTCCAAGGGGCGCCACCAGAGGGAAGGAAAGTGACCCCGCTGAGCGCCTGCCTTTCGGTTGGGCCAACGCTGATAAAGTACCTGCTGGGTGTGCCATGCCACTGTGTCCTGGAACAAAGGAATTAAACTCTTGGGACTCCTTTCCACCTCGGGAGGATGAATTTGCTTTCTTTTTTTTTTTTAAATTTTTTTTAACGTTTTATTTATTTTTGAGACAGAGACAGAGCATGAACGGGGGAGGGGCAGAGAGAGAGGGAGACACAGAATCGGAAGCAGGCTCCAGGCTCTGAGCCATCAGCCCAGAGCCCGACGCGGGGCTCGAACTCACGGACCGCGAGATCGTGACCTGAGCCGAAGTCGGACGCTCAACCGACTGAGCCACCCAGGTGCCCCTGAATTTGCTTTCTAGATCAGACAGGTAGTCTACCAGAGGGACTCAATCAGTTAGATGCACAAGGAGGAAGAAACATTACTTAATTAAAGACGTCCCCAGTGGAAGAGGTCTTGTGTGGATGGCTCCGGCACTAGCAAGGACAGCAGCAGCCAAGCAGGTGCTTCCAGGTGGGGGGCTCTGATCCTCACAGACTCTGAGCACCCACTCTTCACTGGCACTCGGACCACACAAGACTCAGACACAGGCCTGGAGGGTACTTCTTGGCCCGCAGACCTTGGCTGGGGACAACGGTGTGTCAGAGGCTGTCATGCAAGCAGAGGCCTTAAATACACTTGCATTTTGAGACTTGGCCTCTTGTGCTCTGGTGATCCGCCGTGAGCCAAGCACCCAGAACAAGACACGTGAAGGGGACCTGAAACCGACCCAAGGCCTGGAGCCAAACCCTGCTGGCCCACAGCCTTGGCCAGACTTGCTGCAGCCATCCTGAAGATCTAGGAGTGACAAAACAAGCATTTCCTGTGGTAAGCCAGCAAATATGGGGGTGATTTGTTACACAGCATCACCGCAGCAATAGCTGACTGATACAAAATGACCACACGGTACAATAACTGCTTGGAGGTATACTCAGAGCTCAGAGGAAATCCTAAGGAAGCTAGAGAAGGCTTCTGGGAGGAGCTGACATGTGGTCTGAGCCTGGAACAACACATATGAGAAGAAAGTCAGAAGACGCTCTGGGCAGATAGCGTAACCACAGGAAAGGAACAAAGGCAGGGATGAGCCGCACTGCAAGACGCTTGGTGTCACCAGAGCTTGCTGTGGGACTTGTGGTCACGGTAGCAGCCCCACCTAGAGCCCACCAAACAGGAAACTCACACGGTTCATGCCAACCATCGAGCCCAAGCGGTAATACTTCCTCATTAGCCAATCTGGCCCCCGCCGTCCTGGCCCCCGCCGTCCTGCCCCTGGGAGACAAGCCATTGTCCATTGTCCTCCACGGCCCCAGTCCGGTGCTCACTGGAGAGGGGAATCTGCTGGCCCACAAATCTCCACGTCCACCTCTGGGTCAGGCATTGGAGAGAATGCCGTTCATTCCTGGGGGCCGACCCCCTTCACCGCCCACCTCCTCCTGGTGCAACTGGGGAGCTGGGGACAGCCTTAGGGGCTGAACAGGCAGCTCCAGGGTTTCATAGCAATCCAATTCCCTCAAAAATCTAGCAAGCTTCCAGTCCATTCCATGTGCATGTGTCCACAGTGAACATTCTCGTCCAAGCTTAGGCTCAAAGCCTCAAGACTCTGAGTGTCCCCTGCCCTGTGCTCTGCCCACTGCCCCGGCCCTGGCCCAGTCACCTTTGTCCTGAGATCATTCAAGACGCCAAGTTCCAGAGAGAAACGTCTCCTCACCCAGATGGTTACTGGCGGTTCTCTCAAGAGCCCCGGAGAAGGACCGGACATCAGCCCCCCTGTGGCTGTCCACACCGTGTCAGCTTGGGGTGGAAAAACATTGGCCCTTTTGGCTCTGGAGGGCCCTAGGTGCTGGGATGTTTGGTCACATAGATGCCAGCTGGGCTTTCCATCTCCTCAGAGACAGGCTGGGTCTGACCCCAGTCCACACCTCTCGGGCGGGCCTTCTCTACGATCCCCAAGGAACCAGCCAACATTCTGAACGTTTCCGTCCACGTCCCCCACGCTACGACCCCAGACAGCACGTGGCCGTCGTCCCAAAGCACAGCAG